AGACTCATCCAGGGACAGGTTCCTTCAGGGTAGACTCATTCAGGGACAGGTTCCTTCAGGGTAGACTCATCCAGGGACAGGTTCCATCAGGGTAGACTCATCCAGGGACAGGGTGACTGACGACACTCACTGCCTGGGACTGGTGTGAACAGTGAGGCATGAGGAGGCAGCAGAGCGTGCCTCTCGCAGACATCAACACATGCCTCGCCTGACTCATGCCTTAATTACCGCAGGTCTTGCCTAGCTTTTATCATCAAAGGCGCCTCCATCATCACGAAGCTTGGACCATTACACAGCTACCCGCCAATAATAGCCCAATTTTCATCCTTAACTTCACACTCCCCCCTTCCCCCCTCAACCACTCCTTCCTTACCTCTCTCCCTCTCTCCAATTTCCCAATTCACTCACTCCATCTCTATTTCTCTCACAATTCCTTCCTTTCTCTCACATATTCCCTTTCTCTTACTTCCATTCTTCCTCACATCAGGTCTTCCTAACTCACTCTCTGCCGCTCGCATATTCCTTTCCTCTCTCACTCGCTTCTTTCCTCACATGCACTACTCTCACACACTCACAGATGTGTGTGGTGGTGTGAGTGCGCCACAGGATGTGGAAGGGTGGTGGTGGTTGTGGTGGTAGTGGTTGTGTGGTGGTGGTGGTTGGGTGGTGGTGGTGGTGGTTAGGTGGTGGTGGTGGTGGTGGTGGTGGTGGTAGTGGTTGGGTGGTGGTGGTGGTGGTTGGGTGGTGGTGGTTGGGTGGTGGTGGTGGTGGGGGTGGTGGTTAGGTGGTGGTGGGGATGGTTGTGGTGGTGGTGGTGGTTATGGTTGGGTGGTTGGGAGGTGGTGGTGGTTGGGTGGTGGTGGTGATTGTGGTGGTGGTTGTGGTGGTTGGGTGGTGGTGGTGGTGGTTGCGTGGTTGGGTGGTGGTTGGGTGGTGGTGGTGGTGGTGGTGGTTTGTGGTGGTGGTGGTTGGGTGGCGGTGGTGGTGGTTGGGTGGTGGTGGTTGGGTGGTGGTGGTGGTTGGGTGGCGGTGGTGGTGGTGGTGGTTGGGTGGTGGTGGTAGTTGGGTGGTGGTGGTGGTTGGGTGGTGGTGGTAGTTGGGTGGTGGTGGTGGTGGTGGTGGTTGGGTGGTAGTTGAGTGGTGGTGGTGTTGGTGGTGGTGGTTGGGTGGTGGTGGTGGTGGTGGTTGGTTGTTGGTGGTGGTGGTTGGGTGGTGGTGGTGGTTGGATGGTCGTGGTGGTTGGATGGTCGTGGTGGTGGTGGTGGTGGTTTGGTGGTGGGGTGGTTGAGTGGTAGTAGTGGTGGTGGTTGAGTGGTAGTGGTGGTGGTGGTTGGGTAGTGGTGGTGGTGGTGGTTTGTGGTGGTGGTGGTTGGGTGGCGGTGGTGGTGGTTGGGTGGTGGTGGTTGGGTGGTGGTGGTGGTTGGGTGGCGGTGGTGGTGGTGGTGGTTGGGTGGTGGTGGTAGTTGGGTGGTGGTGGTAGTTGGGTGGTGGTGGTGGTGGTGGTGGTGGTTGGGTGGTAGTTGGGTGGTGGTGGTGTTGGTGGTGGTGGTTGGGTGGTGGTGGTGGTGGTGGTTGGTTGTTGGTGGTGGTGGTTGGGTGGTGGTGGTGGTTGGATGGTCGTGGTGGTGGTGGTTGGGTGGTGGTGGTGGTGGTTGGGTGGTGGTGGTGGTGGTTTGGTGGTGGGGTGGTTGAGTGGTAGTAGTGGTGGTGGTTGAGTGGTAGTGGTGGTGGTGGTTGGGTAGTGGTGGTGGTTGGGTGGTGGTGGTGGTGGTTGGGTGGTGGTGGTGGTTGGGTGGTGGTGGTGGTGGTGGTTGGGTGGTGGTTGGGTGCTGGTGGTGGTGGGTGGGAGGGAGGGATGGAGGAGGAGGAGGATTGATGCTGTAAGATATTACTGGGGCCTGGATGGCCCCACCAGGCCATGGCGCCATTGTGTGTCTCCTTGGCTGGTAGTGGTGTTTATGGGGTGGTGCTGGTCGCGATGGGGAAGTGGGTATGGTGTGGCTGGTTGTTAGTCAACACTGCAGGATGGTGATGCTGGGTTTCCACCACCGATCTCAGATTATGAAGGGCTGTTGGGAGAAGAGTTGTGAATGGGGAAGGGATAGGCATATGAGAAGAGCGAGGTGTGTGACTGTGATGGGCATGATGGGGTGTGGGAGTGAATGGAGTGGTGAAGTGACAGGCGGTGGGAATGATTGTGAACGACGTGTGGTGACAGGTGGTGAGGGTGATTGTGAATGAAGTGGTGATGTGACAGACGGTGGAAGGGGGTTGAGAATGAAGTGGTGATCATCAAAAGGTTACACAAAGAAAATTGTTTTCGTTCGCTAGGCTAGTGAAGGAAAATTTTAATTTCTCACTGTTACGGACCCGAGTCCAGCGTCGTAGCACGGAGCAGTGACGACAACGCCATCTGTGAGTCCGCTCCCGAAACCCCCTCCAAATGGACGACGCCATCTAGTGAGGACGGGATATACCGGCCACAGGTGCTGGATTCCCGTCTTGATCAGCTCATAACATAGCCGCTGCTGACCTCTGGTGAGGTGGCGCTTAGACAGCAACGCCATCTATGGAGTGGATAGGTGGACGTTTGTGTCTAAGCCTGTAAGTGAAGTTCCCTAGTCCCAGTACTAATGACGTGTCTGATTACAGAGTCGACCTGGGACTGCTGTATTGGACGATGGGGCAGTCTACCCAAGGCAGCCAAGGTCTCTTCATGAGTTTGCTCTGCAGAAGCTGTGAGTCACCCCCGGATGAACACTGTTGAGAGTGTTAGCCTGCCTGTGACGTGGCAGTACCAGGATTCGTCCTATCCGGGGCTGGCTGCTGGAAGAGACTAGCCACTGTGGTGCTGAGAGAGGAGAGTGATCAGCGGAATCACACGAGGCTCCTGCCTAGGGCTCGCAACCCTAGTATCGGTCATGGAGTGGCCTACACAGCGAAGCTGATCGGAACCTGCCAGCTACAGGCTGGATTTATGGTTGAAGGCATCCATGACGGAGCACCCAGTGGGACTGTGTTTTGGCTGGCCTATGTCCAGGGTAGATTCGCCTAGAGAAGCCAAGAGGATTCAGCGTGGGCCACGAAGAAGGGAACCAGGGCTACTCATCGTGAGCACCGTGGAGCATCCCGTGTCTTCCGGGGAAGGCGATTCTGTACATTGTGTATTTACACCCCCCATGTGACAGTTTATATATTTATTTATGGTGGTGGTGATTATATATATAAAGCAGTGCATTTGTATCCCTTCCCCTTTAATTTAACTTGCATTATGGAACACACCCCTTGAAAGCCACTACTAACTTGGGGCCGGATACCCAAACTCTAATAACATCAGAGAAGAACCCGGTTGCGACCCAATAGGGCCGCAACACTCGCGCAAAAAAAAAACTAGTTTCAAACGCCTGGCCATAAAGTGTACACTCGCTACCTTGATCTAATCATAACAATACCTTCAGAGTGGAGCCATTACTATAAACAACCATCAAATAATGACTGGTCACAATTACCTCTCCGGCATCCAGCCTTAAAGATAATTACATTTTAAATTTAAAATAATAATTCACGTACAATTTCCCAACACAATAGTGATGGTGAATTATGTTTTTATTATATTAAATAATAAAGATATGCAAATATTCTTAAATTAATAATAATTTTACACACCGACACTAGACTTAATCACAAGCGAAAATCGACTTTGCGTGTGAACCTCACATTAAACAATAATATTATATTTCTCACTCGCAGTGATGGATAATCTCGATGCCAAGATTGAATAATTATTATAAGTCACCTTCTCACGTGAAATAATCTCTCTCCCTCTCTCTCTTACATATATATGTTGTTAAATATGACCGAGAAAGTAAGAATAATAATTCTAACACGAATTTTCTCAATATTTCCAGGCGATTAACAATGCATAAGCAACAGGGCTCCATCAAGGAACATATAATCTCTTCCCACAACCAGAGAAGTCTTAACAAACAACACAGAAATCATCGATAGATACAGCGATAGCAGGCGGCTTGACATCTGCAAGGCACTACATATCAAAATGTCATCAACAGCCAATTAATGCACAACTGTATTCTACCCACTTCAAGACTCCGTACCAATATAGAAGCATCAAGAGGAAGTATGGGCCAATAGGCCCATTGCAGTTACTTCCATTCTTCCCTCTCATTTATTCAATTTATACCCATTGCACCGTGTTCTGTCTTGTGTTGGTCAAAGGTTTGTTCACCTCATCCAAAACTGTTGCAACATATCACCTCACCCAAATGCGAGTTTATAAGACAAGCTGTTCAATGTTAGCATTAAGTAAAACTCTGTTTTCAGGTTATAGTTGTGTATGTGTAAACTAAAGTCTTTGAAAATCTAATAAGTTATTACGAAACGCGTTCAAGCGTCGCGCTAGACTAGAAATAAAAATGAATTTTTGGAGAATTGATTTTTCAATTACCATCGACAGTAAAAAGAAATATTGAGAAAATTGGTGTTAGAATTATTTATCTTATTAATTATTAATCTTATCTTATTATTATTAATCTTTTTCGGTCATATTTAACAACATATGTTTACAAGAAAGACTGCTACCAAAATATACTAATATATATATATATATATATGTATATATATATATGAACCAGACTGAATGATACCCCAGGCATATATGCAACTGAAAACTCCTCACCCCAGAAGTGACTCTAACGCATACTGCCAGGAGCACTATGCAACTGTTGTACTGGAGACCTTAACCACTCAACCATCAGACCGTACAAAAGATGATGGTAGCCGAAACAATTTGCCCATCATCCCAACAGCACTTTGATGGTAATCTTTGGCAAAGTTATTTTATCAAATCTCCTTACTTTGTGGGGCCATGTGCGCAACACATATGCAAACAAGCCTGAATGGTCCTCCAGGCATATATGCAACTGAAAGCTCCATTTGTGTTGATTGCATGCATGCTGTGCATGCCGGGGGGCTGTGCATGCCTAGGGCTGTAAGTGCCGAGGGAGATGTGCATGCCGAGGTATGTGCATACCGGGGGCTGTGCATGCCGGGGGCTGCACATGTCGGGGGTCTGTGCATGCCGAGGTATGTGCATGCCGGGGGGGGCTGTGCATGCCGAGGTATGTGCATGCTGGGGGGGCTGCACATGTCGGGGAGCTGTGTATGCTGGAGACTGTGCATGCCGGGGGCTGAGCATGCCGGGGGCTGTGCATGCCGGGGGCTGTGCATGCCAGGGGCTGTGTATGCCGGGGGGCTGTGCATGCCTGGGTGGGGGAATGCTGTGCATGCCGGGGGCTGTGCATGCCGGGAGCTGCACATGCCTGGGGCTGTGCATGCCAAGGGTTGTGTATGCCGGGTGCTGTGCATGCCAGGGGGCTGTGCATGCTGGGAACTGTGCATGCCGAGGGCTGTGCATGCCAGGGGGCTCTGCATGCCGGGGACCGTGCATGCTGGGGCGCTGTGCATGCCGGGGGGCTGTGCATGCCGGGGGGCTGTGCATTCCGGGGGGATGTGCATGCCGGGAAACTGTGCATTCCGGGGAACTGTGCAGGCCGGAGGGCAGTGCATGCCGGGGGGCTGTGCATGTGGGGGGGGCTGTGCATGCCGGGGGGCTGTTCAGGCCGGGGGGCTGTGCATGCCGGGGGCTGTTCAGGCCGGGGGCTGTGCATGCCGGGGGGCTGTGCATGCCGGGGGGCTTTGCATGCCAGGGGGCTGTGCATGCCGGGGGCTGTGCATGCCGGGGGGGGGGCAGGCATGCCGGGGGCTGTGCATGCCAGGGGGCTGTGCATGCCGGGGGGCTGTGGATGCCGGGGGGCTGTGCATGCCGGGGGGCTAGGCATGCCAGGGGGCTGTTCATGCCGGGGGGCTGTGCATGCCGGGGGGCTGTGCATGCCGGGGGGCCAGGCATGCCGGGGGGCTGTGGATGCCGAGGGGCTAGGCATGACAGGGGGCTGTGGATGCCGGGGGGCTGTGCATGCCGGGGGGCCAGGCATGCCGGGGGGCTGCACAGCCCCCATTACTGCATTAGACATTCTACAATAACAAGGCTCCTGTGGATCTTGCTACAATAGCAAGGCTCCTGTGGATCTTGCTACAATAGCAAGGCTCCTGTGAATCTTGCTTCAATAGCAAGGCTCCTGTGGATCTTGCTACAATAGCAAGGCTCCTGTGGATCTTGCTACAATAGCAAGGCTCCTGTGAATCTTGCTACAATAGCAAGGCTCCTGTGGATCTTGCTACAATAGCAAGGCTCCTGTGGATCTTGCTACAATAGCAAGGCTCCTGTGGATCTTGCTACAATAGCAAGGCTCCTGTGGATCTTGCTACAATAGCAAGGCTCCTGTGGATCTTGCTACAATAGCAAGGCTCCTGTGGATCTTGCTACAATAGCAAGGCTCCTGTGGATCTTGCTACAATAGCAAGGCTCCTGTGGATCTTGCTACAATAGCAAGGCTCCTGTGGATCTTGCTACAATACCAAGGCTCCTGTGGATCTTGCTACAATACCAAGGCTCCTGTGGATCTTGCTACAATACCAAGGCTCCTGTGGATCTTGCTACAATACCAAGGCTCCTGTGGATCTTGCTACAATACCAAGGCTCCTGTGGATCTTGCTACAATACCAAGGCTCCTGTGGATCTTGCTACAATAGCAAGGCTCCTGTGGATCTTGCTACAATAGCAAGGCTCCTGTGGATCTTGCTACAATAGCAAGGCTCCTGTGGATCTTGCTACAATAGCAAGGCTCCTGTGGATCTTGCTACAATAGCAAGGCTCCTGTGGATCTTGCTACAATAGCAAGGCTCCTGTGGATCTTGCTACAATAGCAAGGCTCCTGTGGATCTTGCTACAATAGCAAGGCTCCTGTGGATCTTGCTACAATAGCAAGGCTCCTGTGGATCTTGCTACAATAGCAAGGCTCCTGTGGATCTTGCTACAATAGCAAGGCTCCTGTGGATCTTGCTACAATAGCAAGGCTCCTGTGGATCTTGCTACAATAGCAAGGCTCCTGTGGATCTTGCTACAATAGCAAGGCTCCTGTGGATCTTGCTACAATAGCAAGGCTCCTGTGGATCTTGCTACAATAGCAAGGCTCCTGTGGATCTTGCTACAATAGCAAGGCTCCTGTGGATCTTGCTACAATAGCAAGGCTCCTGTGGATCTTGCTACAATAGCAAGGCTCCTGTGGATCTTGCTACAATAGCAAGGCTCCTGTGGATCTTGCTACAATAGCAAGGCTCCTGTGGATCTTGCTACAATAGCAAGGCTCCTGTGGATCTTGCTACAATAGCAAGGCTCCTGTGGATCTTGCTACAATAGCAAGGCTCCTGTGGATCTTGCTACAATAGCAAGGCTCCTGTGGATCTTGCTACAATAGCAAGGCTCCTGTGGATCTTGCTACAATAGCAAGGCTCCTGTGGATCTTGCTACAATAGCAAGGCTCCTGTGGATCTTGCTACAATAGCAAGGCTCCTGTGGATCTTGCTACAATAGCAAGGCTCCTGTGGATCTTGCTACAATAGCAAGGCTCCTGTGGATCTTGCTACAATAGCAAGGCTCCTGTGGATCTTGCTACAATAGCAAGGCTCCTGTGGATCTTGCTACAATAGCAAGGCTCCTGTGGATCTTGCTACAATAGCAAGGCTCCTGTGGATCTTGCTACAATAGCAAGGCTCCTGTGGATCTTGCTACAATAGCAAGGCTCCTGTGGATCTTGCTACAATAGCAAGGCTCCTGTGGATCTTGCTACAATAGCAAGGCTCCTGTGGATCTTGCTACAATAGCAAGGCTCCTGTGGATCTTGCTAAAATAGCAAGGCTCCTGTGGATCTTGCTACAATAGCAAGGCTCCTGTGGATCTTGCTACAATAGCAAGGCTCCTGTGGATCTTGCTACAATAGCAAGGCTCCTGTGGATCTTGCTACAATAGCAAGGCTCCTGTGGATCTTGCTACAATAGCAAGGCTCCTGTGGATCTTGCTACAATAGCAAGGCTCCTGTGGATCTTGCTACAATAGCAAGGTGGGCCTCAGGAGCTACAGCCTGACCACGCAAGCCCGTCTTGGTCACCAGACTCACAAATGGTATCACCCACTGTTTTTAAAAGACATATAAAAGAGGCTTTGTTATCATTACACATTTCTGCTTGGAATGTCGCAGTGTGTACATAGAGCTAAAACAGTTTAATGATGGGTGGAACATTTTGGGCATTCAGAGATTTTTTCTGTTGTGCACTTTACCCACTCCCTTCTCTCTGTCTCTGTCTCTGTCTCTGTCTCTCTCTGTCTCTCTCTGTCTCTCTCTCTCTCTCTCTCTCTGTCTGTCTCTGTCTCTGTCTCTGTCTCTCTCTCTCTCTCTCTCTCTCTCTCTCTCTCTCTCTCTCTCTCTCTCTCTCTCTCTCTCTCTCTCTCTCTCTCTCTCTCTCTCTCTCTCTCTCTCTCTCTCTCTCTCTCTCTCTCTCTCTCTCTCTCTCTCTCTCTCTGTCTCTCTCTCTCTCTGTCTCTCTCTCTGTCTCTCTCTCTCTCTCTCTCTCTCTCTCTCTCTCTCTCTCTCTCTCTCTCTCTCTCTCTCTCTCTCTCTGTCTCTCTCTGTCTCTCTCTCTGTCTCTCTCTCTCTCTCTCTCTCTCTCTCTCTCTCTCTCTCTCTCTCTCCTACCCTCTATAATCCCCCTCTTCTTCTATCTCTCTTTATTTGTTACTTGGAAACTGATTCATCACACTGTCATGACTGGAGTAAGCAAGGGCTGGGTCTGTATTATATGCTGTAAAGGCTGCGGCCCAAGTGTAAAAAACCCACAAAAATACGCATAAATATTAAAACATAAATATATTTGTATAGTTACGTAAATAATTTGTTTAATTTGCTATACAACCAGATAAGACGATAAATATACATGTCGCCAGTAATAGTATTGTGTTCATGTTGGAAAACGTTTAAAATGCGATGACTTTTACACTGTAGATTGTCGCTCCTCGTCCAATATTGTAATTATGTAAGTCTATTACAATATATTACAGTATATTACATTGTAAGTCTACACTGTAATATAATGGGTGATTGACTAGCGCAAGATACTGTGGGATTGGTGCTAGGTGACTATTGATACATGGCGATAGATAGGTGGGTGGATAGATAGATGGGTAGATTGATGAATGGATAGATAGTTGGATAAACGGATGGATAGACAGATGAGTAGATTGATGGATATACGGATGCACAAATAAATGTATAGATAGAAGGATGCACAGATGAATAGGAAAATTGATTGATGGATACATGGATGAACGAGTAAATGGATGGAAAATGGACAGATTTATGGATAGATGAATGGGCAGATGAAGAGATGGATGGATAAATTGATAGATAGTTGGAGAGATAGAGGATAGATTGATGGATTTATGGATGTATAGATGGATAGGTGGATGGATAGATAGAAGGGTGGATAGTTGGATGGAAAGATGGATGGATGGACAGAAGGATGCACAGATTGATTTATAGACAGCTGGATTGGGTAGATCAATAGATATATGATAGGTGGATAGATGTATGAATAGGTGGATGTATAGATGTATGGAGGGATGTATAGATGGATAGATAAATGGTTAGACAGAGGGATAGCTATGTGAATATAGGATAGATGATGGATAGGTGGAAATATTGATAGATCGATAGATATATAGCAGGATGGATAGGTAGATTGATGGATGGATAGATGGACAAATGGGAGACAGACCCGGACCACGCCGGGTAACCCCACTAGTAATACACAGAGGTCAGGGGGCCGGGTACGTCAGTGACAACGGTTTTCTCCTCCGTCGTGACTCTTCTTGTGACTCGGGACTCTTGTGACTCTTGTGACTTCTTGTGACTTCTTGTGACTCTTCTTGTGACTCGGGACTCTTGTGACTTCTTGTGACTCTTCTTGTGACTCGGGACTCTTGTGACTTCTTGTGACTCTTCTTGTGACGACTCGATGCTTTAACATAAGTAACCAAACCCCAGCCCAGTGTTACACTTTAAAATGTAAATATGTGAAGAACGAGGGGAAAATATAGTTGCTTTGGGCTTATAATGAAAGTGAGGCTCCAACCAGAGACTCAATATTAAAAGCGTTGGCGCACACAAGCGCACACGTGGAAACGCGCACGAACAAACAAATACACACTTACATACACGCACGCACACGCGTGCACGCACACGTTACACGCACTAGGGGGACACAGGTGGAAACTGAGTGCCCAAATGAGCCACAGACATATTAGAAAGAACTTTTTTAGTGTCAGAGTGGTTGACAAATGGAATGCATTAGGAAGTGATGTGGTGGAGGCTGACTCCATACACAGTTTAAAGTGTATATATGATAGAGCCCAATAGGCTCAGGAACCTGTTCACCTGTTGATTGACGGTTGAGAGGCGGGACCAAAGAGCCAGAGCTCAACCCCCGCAAGCACAATTAGGTGAGTACAATTAGCTGAGTACATACGTAACGAACAACCACAAAGAAGCTGAAAGGATGTTACACCACCACTAAGGGTTCAGGTAATTAAGACGAGCATTAGCCCCTGGGTTCTACAAGCAGTGTCTGAAGGCAAAAAGAAGCAGCAGCAGCAAAGGGGGATGTAAGAAATATAGAGAACATAGAGCAGAAGGAAATCACAATGCTTTCAAAGAGGCCAGAAATAAGTAAGCAGAAACTAGGAGAGTGGCAGAGAAATAATACGAGAATGACATTGCATACAAGGCTAAGTCCGAGCCAAAACTCTTCCATAGCAATATCAGGAGGAAGATGACAGGGAATGATCATGTTATCAATATTGAAAAAAGCGAGGGAGGACACACACAAAATGATTTGGCGGTATGTGAGGAACTTAACAAAGGTCTTCAGGAAGTATTCAAGCTGGAACCTGATTTGCTAGTAAAACAAAGAACCCAAACCGAACGGGCAGTTCCACAGGAACCAATCGAGCTGTGGTGGGTATGTGGGCCTGCGGGCCGCTCCAAGCAACAGCCTGGTGGACCAA